GACAAGAAATGGCCAGAGAACAAGTTTGATATTGTTTCTCCAGAAGACCTTGAGGTGAAGAAGGAGATGTATCTGACCAGACTTGAACCTACTACAACAGTCGAAGACCTTATAACCAGATTCTCCAACTGGGTCCACACCCTGCGCAAAGTGGCCTGGGTGCTGAAGTTCCTAGACTGGATGAAGTGGCATGTAACAAAGAAAAAGGACAAAAGAGCAGTTGAAGTACAAAGGGGTATCAAGCACGAGGACCTGGAGAGAGCGAAGAGAAAGATTGTGGCAGTTGTGCAGAAGAGAAGCTTCGCTGGTGAAGTGAAAAACCTGAAAGAAGGAAAACCAGTGAAGCCTTCCAGCAAAATAATCAAGCTCAAACCAGTCATGAAGGGAGACGAAGTCATGCGAGTAGGCGGAAGGATATCAATGGCCCCGATATCCACTAATGCTATGAATCCAATGATACTGCCAAAAGGTCACCACATTGCTACCATCCTGATACGACACCTCCACGAAGATAATGGGCATTGCGGGGTGGAACAAGTTCTGTCACTGCTTAGGGAGCAGTTCTGGGTAGTGAAGGCTAGAGGAGCTATCAAGAAAGTCCTTAGAGCGTGCATTCATTGCAGGAAGCAGATGGCACCCAGGATGAATCAACAAATTGGAGAGTTGCCGAAGGTACGATTAACTCCATATGAGCCTCCTTTCACCTACTGCGGAGTGGACTATTTCGGACCATTCTACGTAAAGCGAGGAAGAGGAAGAGTGATTGAGAAACGGTGGGGAGCAATCTTTGTTTGTATGAATTCCCGAGCTGTTCACCTTGAGTTGGCTAAGTCTCTCGAAACCGACGACTTCATGTTAGTCCTGATGAGATTCCTAAACAGACGAGGACAAGTAAAGGAGATTCGGTCTGACAACGGGACCAACTTTGTTGGCGCAGATAAGGAGATCCGAGAGTCACTGAAGACGATGGACTGCACTAAGCTGGAAAGAGAGCTCATGCAGAGAGGCTGTAAGTGGGTTTTTCACCCACCTGGAGCGTCTCATATGTCAGGAGTGTGGGAGAGGCTAGTCCGGACCGTCAAGAGGAGCCTGAAAGCTATCCTCGGGAGTGCCCCGATGAATGAAGAAGTCCTGGCCACAGTGTTCACGGAAGCTGAGCGGATTGCAAATTCGAGACCACTGACACCGAACCCCTCAAGCCCAGATGATAATGAAGCTTTAACACCAAGTCATTTCTTGAACGTGCGCCCCTCCTTGAATATCCCACCGGACGTGGTTGATGAGAAGGACAAGTTCAGCAGAAAGAGGTGGCGACAGGCTCAGCTGCTAGCGAACCACTACTGGAGACGCTGGTTGAAAGAGTATATACCATCGCTGCAGGAGAGACCTAAGTGGCAGCACGAACAGAGGAACCTTCGAGTCGGAGACGTTGTGCTGATTGCTGATGACAATGTGAAGAGGAATCAATGGGTTCTGGGTCGAATCGAGAACGTATTTCCCGGAGCAGATGGACTGGTGAGGAGCGTGGAAGTACGCAAAGGGGACAACATTCAAGCGACCGGTGACCAAGCTGTGCTTGCTGGAAGGAGTTAGCGATGAATAAGAGTATAGAGATCGCGAATTACGGACTTTTAGAGACTGATAAATTCCCGTACTGTAGTTATGAACCCCCGATATATAGGAGTTCATGGGGGGCGGAATGTTGTGTCTTTTTTCTAGATACCGCGCGGCTTAGAGGCCACGCGTCACATAGTTCCCAGAAGTCCTTGCTGTTTGCGTGGCGCGTGTTTCGGACCGGCCATGTTTGAATTGTCATTCGGCCATGTTTTGAACTGTTGAAGGACATGTTGAACTGTTGAAGGACTTTTTGATCTTATTACCTATTATCCACACTAGTGTGAGTAGCTTTTCCTTGATTTATTTCTTGAGAGTCATATTTGTGTTTCTAGCTATATTCATTTCCAATTATTGTATTGTTTGCAGCGAATTAAACGAATACTCCGAAGTTGTAATATCGACGTGTGGGAATAAAGTAGTTATGACGTCTGTACACGAACGCTCCGACGACCACACGTAAATTATCGTCACTCATGCTCAAAATGAAACAACAATTTTTCACTCATTTACATTTGACTTCATGATCATGTTTCCCCAACGGATTTCGAAACTGTTAATAATTATTTGAAGTGCAAAACAATATTTCATTACTACTATTCAGAGCTTAAGTAGCTTGCGTAGCTGGTGGTGTTGTTGGCGCGCAAAGTAAATTTTTAGCGGTGAAGCCGCAAAAGCGAGCAGTACCGCCGCGAGAGTCTGGGTCGGGTAGGTTTGAAGGACTCGCATGCTTCGTGTGCTCGCCTCGCGCGTTTTCCAACTCCAGAGCCAGCTACGCAGGCTAGAGCTTACGTTTTAACTTGGCGGAATTGTAATCTAAGGTTTAGTTATTCTTTTTTGGCCTGTTTCCTCTGGCACTCCTTGGGGGCAAGCTGGAAGTCTTTGTGAAATGTACTTCCTTTCATTTTAAAGTTCTCAGAATATAATGTTTCTGCATCACTACCTTCGATTCATAGCCAGCTGATGTTCCTCAGGCTCTTGACTTTCTTCACTGCAATCACTTTCAGATTCAGAACTTTTGTTTGTCTTATAAATCACCCTGCTCAGCTGTACATATCTTTGTTTTCCAGTTTAACAAATACTTGTCCCCTTTAAGTTGCTGGGAGCAATTACATACACAGTTGTTTATATGTCCAGCCAAGGCAACTTCATCACCTTCAGGTTCTTAAGGTTTCAGGACAGGTGCCATTGACATGGAAATCAGTGTTTAGGGCATATATATTCACTGGAATCATTGACCTAAATGGATGAAATAATTAGTCAATTGTAAAATCAAATCAAATCAATATTCAAATGGGCGCTATGGTTCATGTTTAGTTTCGAATCTTCAATATTATTCAAAAATGAAAGCAATATTTCATTGAAAGCATTTGTCATTATTTAGGCGGAACACGTTGAGTATTTTGACTGTAAAGGTCTGTCGTCAAATGTCAAGCTACTTCCATAAATCATTTCACATTCAGGCAAACTAATACAAATTTTACAAGTGCATTGCTTGCATACTTGCCAAAAATTAAGCTAACATAAACAAATCAGATCAAATAGAAATAAGTTAATATACTTTATGAAACTAATACCGATAAATTTTAAAATTTTATTGCGAATGAGAAGACAAACAAACCTTCTAAAAAATGTATTTACCTTTACAAGGCAACTTGTCTTGATATCTATCAATGCTGGCGAGATGAGCAGCCTTGAAGGCGATGAAATGGCCCATAAATGCCTTGTTTGGACCTTCTCGCTGTCTGTAAACAGTACTATCGATCTTGTTTTTAGCATTGATGGAGAGCTGCAGTGTACCAAAATAACTTTATAATTAAAACAAATTGGATGGATGTCTTATATAATTAGCTGCTGTCTGTATCCACACAGTATACATACGTAAAGGTATATAAACACGTTCCGTTCGCCGACAATCTCAACCATTGTTGAAACCAACTCCGGCCATTCTTTCCGACCTTTCCATTTTGAACATCTTAGCTTCGTAGCTGAAAGAAAAACAAAAGTTAATGTATCTTATCCATCTGTTTTAGATGCCACGACTGGAAAATTTGCTAGCCGAAAATCTACATACAAACTCGTATTGCGAACGCGACAATAAATCGAATCTTCGTTGAACATGATTATTGACTTCTTATCTTCGATAACAATTAAACGATCGATTGTGTAGAGATTATATGCAATTGTTTAAATATTGATTTTTTACGTTGTTTTTGTTATAAAATATCCAGATTAGTGTAGAAAGATAGTTGTTATTGTTATGGATATTTTGTTAGAAACGAACACCATATGCGATATTCAATGGTTAATATTTGGTATTTCTATCAATATTATTATTATTATTTATTTTTTTTTGCAATTAATTTTATATGTTTTACTTTTCAATGTATAGACTAGTGTCAAGGTTTACTAATCAGTAAGTCATTTTTTGAGGATCTTCACTCCCCTTCCTCCCTCCCGCCTGTCAAGTTTCTATTTTTTCGAGGTTAAATTAACTAGACTTTATTTTCTTAATTTTTAAAAGTCAATAAATGGCACTGTACCCTATCTATTTTTCTCTGATAGAAGCTGTCGTATTGTTGCATATTTTCTGCGTGAACGAACTCTATAGTAGTCATATTTTTAATTGCGGCGACTTAATCCTTTCACTTGCAATAATAATCTTAGTCAATAACAAACAGTACTACTTGAAAGTACTGCTGAATAGCTTTCATTTGAATGGTCACATACTAGAGTTTTATCCACAGATTCAAAAGGTACAACCATATTTATTGACTTTAGATATTAACTCAATTCAGACGCTGTCCTTCATATAATTAGACAAATCGAATTCAATGAATTAAACTCTTGTGAAGTACGGCGTCTGAATCAATTGAGAACGGCTGATTGAATTCGGATCTGCTCAACCGTTCTTTCCGCTTGGCTCAACCAGGAATAATTGGTGTGGACAGTCTTTGATTCAGACGCCGAACGTCACATGAGCCGAAACAAATTAATGAATTATTATAAAATTAATGTATTTTTCAATATAACAGCAAATTACGTTCAGCTGAATTAAGGTCTGGGTCTGAATCAATTCACCCAGTCTATATTAATTTAGGTTGACCTAAATTATAATTGATTCGGCTCATGTGAAGTATGGCGTTTGAACTTGTCCTTACTTACAAATCACATGTGGAAAGAAATGATGTCATATTTTAAGCTTGGTAGAAATATGAGAGAGATATTACTCTGTCAGTGACACAAGCTACTCGGAAAAAAATTCCGAGTTTCGCCAACAGGAGTCGAACCTATGACCTTCCGCACACCGGTCGGACGCTCTACCACTGAGCTACAGGAGACTCGTGGGAGCTAAGGCCATATAAACTAGGCCTTAGCTCCCACGAGTCTCCTGTAGTTAAGTGGTAGAGCGTCCGACCGGTGTGCGGAAGGTCATAGGTTCAACTCCTGTCAGTGTCCTGTTGGAGGAACTCTGAATTTTTTTCCGAGTAGCTTGTGTCACTGACAGAATAATATCTCTCTCAATCACATGTTAATTACATTTATTTACAGTGGAAATGCTGTGACGAAAATCCTCTGTTCTTTTCTAATGATGAAGACTATTCTTAAGCATGCCAAAAAATTGCTCCCTCAAGCTCGACATTTGCTATGATCGACTACGAGCATGCGCGATTACCTGATAAACCCCTGCGCATGAGCAGCTGCGCTCGAAGGCTCTGGGCACGAGGCTGCAAAAATATTCCAAATGGTGGCTGAAGGGAAGCGTTCTCGATCTCGCCCAGAAAAGGGATATTTCAAGACATTGGAAGACGGTGTTCATTTAAAATCCGAACGAGTTCACCCCAAATCTCAAAAGGTGGATACAGAGACGATGTATCCGATCGAGGTAAGCATATAATTGCATTTCTGTTTCCTGTGCATTTGCTTTGGTAAACAATGCATGCAAAATCTGTACATAAGCTTAAACTTTATATGCAGTACCGTTTTACTCGCATCTCAATTTTACTTAATTTTATTGATCCTGTATTTAGGGGTTCATCGGGGATGTGTGGTAGAACTTATTTCAATTAAATTGTTTTACACTTTTATGATATAGTGTCCTCAATTACTGGTGTTATAACATTAACTGCTAGCATTTTATTGACAAATTAATAGAATTAAGTTCTTATTCAGGGGTTTCACAGGTCAGCAAACGGTCAGGGAAAAAGATTTTCAAGGTCAGGGAAAAGTCAGGGAATTTTGATCTGAATCGAGGGAAATTGATATTTTGAAGAGCAGTCTTGGAAATCAATCCTTAATAATAATAATAATTATTTTAAATCACTTTGATGAGCTACATTGATTAATATATTGCTTTTTCTTTTTGCATGCAATTGTAGATCATTGAAAGAGATAAAACTACCAATAGGGTTAAAATCCATTTTATTGGATTCTCTCATGAACACGACGAGTGGAGAGATAGAGACCAATCATTGACAAACACTGAGAAGCTTTCTCTTGGTCATTATGTGCCACGAAATATTCCAAGCGATCAAAGTTTGGAAGACAGGGCTGGAGCAATGTTTTACCGCCTCACAAAGGCAATAAAATGCAGTCTTTTTTCGAGCAAACATGAATCTCCTGACATCAGGATAGAAGAGCTCTTTGAAATGGACATCTACCAAAAATATATGGCGAATGTCGGAGTAATCAGGAAGTCAAGGGGACGAGACGTCCATTGTTTAAATTATAATGCTCAGCTATGTTGTATCCTTGGAAACAAATGGTATGAGAGAATTTTGAATGTCAATGGAGATTTCTGTTTTGTAGTTAAGGGAACAGTGAGATTTTGGCTTCATGACAAGAATCCGATCAAGGAGTATTTTTACGTGGGAGATAAACTTTTGGAAAGCCACATTCAAAATGATCTTCAACTAATATTTACATTTGTCTGTGGGGATGGCATGAAAGCAGAATATAACACTGAAATATGGAAGTGAAATGAACTATTTTATTTCAAACTGTAAATGATAATGGCATTCTGCCTGTTTTCCTTCCTTGTAATATACAGGCAATCGTTATACTGCCTTCAGAAAACAGACTGGACAATTGGCTTAGGTGTACAATATCAAATGTTTGTTGTGTTGTTGCTATGACATTTCTTAACCCATTGTGTGGTTCCAGAAAATATCCATACCCCCCCCCCCCCCCCCACGGAAGACAACTGGAAATTCCGAGTGGGAGGGGGGGTTGAAAGGTTGAAATTTCCAAGGGGAGGGGGGGGTTCATGAGCAGCTCCTTTTCCAGAGGGTGAAGAAACACGAAAAGCTCGACGTAATACTTACGTAATACTTACGTACACTGTTTTGAAAAAAAAATCAGAGTTCCCGTCCATTGAGATGAAGTTAACATTATAAGCTTTAATGGTTCCGTTTTTGCTTTGAGTTTGCTAGTGCTACAATCCCCAGAAGACCTGTGTATTTGTAACGAAGCACGAGGACCGAGTCAAAATGGCGGACATGACAGGAAACTTGTCCCCAGACTCCCAGCGGTGTCTCGTTTTCGTTCCGACGTGGTGTGGAACTTTCTTCACTTCCGGTTTCAGTACGCTAAGAAAAGCTCGCATATGCATTATATTTGTGGGGGATTTGTTATCACAACCACGAGAACAACAACAAAATTGAAAAACAGCAATGTATTTATTGAAGCAACTCTATTTTTGTAACCTGTAAAACACGCGTATAAAAGCGAAGCCAAAAAATATTTTTAAACGTGTATGACTACTGGGGAAAGGAAAATGAAAATAAGTTTCACATACACTCGGCTCTGGTGCATTTGTTATAATTTCTCTTTTTCCCGTTAATTGAATTTGATTTCTACTTATGTTCAGAACAAAACGGCGAATGTATTTGGTATTAATTTTTAGAAAATGGTGGCATACTTAAAAAGTTTTTAACAGATGTCTCATTTGCTGAGTTCATTCATCATCGTCACTGTCTTCTCCAGGTGATATATTACTTTCTTCAGCAACATCGAGTTTATGTAGGAGTTTTCTTCTGGCATCTATTGCTTTCCTCAAAGAGTCTTGTGATTTACGCATCTCAGCCAGCTGTGACTCCAAATTTTTCTCCAGCTCATCCACTCTTACTGAAGTCGCTCGGCGTTCTGACTTGCTGCTGCTGTCAAAATGTTCCTGCCTGGCACTTGTCAGTTCTCGCTGGAGATCTTGTACAGATGCTATAGCTGTTTCGATGTGTTCTCGATTTTTTTCCAAAGTCTTTGCAGACAGCTGAAACTTTTTAAGAATATCAACCGGGCATTTGTCGTTGATCTCCTTGTTAACGTTTTCCATTTCATTCTTTAAATGCTCTGTTTTCTCGATGATCCATGCAACATTTATCGCACCTTGAATCTCTCCAGGCTTAAAAGTTTTTAGAGCACTGCTCCTACAAAGCTCTTCTGCCTTGGTGTTCCAAAATGTTCTATAGAGTTTTTGCATTCCCGTGCTGTCATCAATTTCCCTCACGCTAAAGATCTTGACCTTTCTTGCTCTCGCTGCTGAGTATGGTTGGGGCGAAACTGTTGAGCGGTTGGGACTGCACATGTCAAACAGTGTGGGCTGGCGAGAAATCTTTGCTTTCTTTGTCGGCGGCGTCAGCGGGAGTTCCTCGTCGTGTTTTGAAGGTGAAGCGCTTACCTCTTGAACATCGGGCTGTTCTGAATTTGTTTTATCACAAACCAAGTAAATGGCAGCTTGACCTTCGGCTGATTCTTCCATGCATTGCTTTAACTTTAACAACCTTTCTTGTTTAAGACCGACAACAACACGATTGTTGTTGACACTTCTAGTAAACTTGTATGGAAAGTTTAGAACATCATCGACTTGCGTGTTTAAGATTTCTTGTCGAAATGTTTCTAAAATGACATCAGAACTATCGAAGATCACGGAACAAGAAACGGTCTCGTTGACATACACAAGTAGATCCGACATGTTGTGTATCAGCATAAACGGATGACTGAAAAATTTGTCAAGTATACACAATGGTTTATTTTCTGTTTTACAAATGTTATTGTGCATTTTGACATTTACAAAACAAAGGAGTTGACGCTTTCCAAGCGGCTTTCTCTGACATCCGTTTAAAGTGCGAAAATCTAACCCCTCTCTGATGTGTTGCTGTTCTAACATAAACTAATTATTTGAAATTTTTCTCTTCCTTCCTTCATCACGCGCGCAGCGTTTTAAAGTAAAAAAAGGAATAATTTTGTGACGGTCCCGCCAATGGCTCATAAGAGATTAAATAAATAAAATAAGCACATACTTTGCACTAGGCTCGATTACCAGCCACTGTTCGGGAAAATGAGCGGAAATCGAGCCTAACTTTGCACCAGAACGGGAAAGATTTCAATAAAGGTGTGATATGCAAATTACTGCATAGGACAAAATATTTGCGTACATAACCTAGACAAACTGATTTTCTTTGGTAAAAAAAGGGAGCGACAGAATAAGAAATTTATGAAAAAATTATAAGAAACGGCAGCTTAGAACCAAGTAAGAAACTTCTGTGAAAACAATTACTGGGACTTTGCCCTGCTCACAAAACAGCCGAAAACAGCGAGCAGAGGATATGAGCATTTCACAGGTGAGAGTTAATTAATTTTGGTATCCAGATTTTGTCACCTCAGTTACTCTAAGACCGTGATGTGCCACAAACTCACAAGTCAATGTATCTAGACAGCTAAGACAAACCGAGCAGATCAGTATAAGGTCAACAGCGAGAGAAAAAAGTATCCACTTTGCTGCTCTTTTCTAAAATGGCGCGTCAAGATCTTACACGTCTGCAAGGTAGCTGCAATGATTTCCGTAAATTCTGTTCAATGTGTGAAGAAATGGAAAGACGGTGGAGTTTACATGCGTTAAACGTCAACGATATTGATTTGTCCACAAGTCAGTTTGCATCCAGTCAAGTGGACGAAATTTCTCGTCGTATCATCCCTCCAAATTGCGCAGGTCTATCTTATGTTCCAGTGCGCTCAACGGGAGATGGCAACTGTCTGTTTAATTCTGCTAGCTTGGCTATTTGTCAAAACGAAAGCTTGGCTGTTGAACTTCGTTTACGCACGTGTTTCGAGCTTGCCAAAAACAGAGAGTTCTACAGAAGACATCCTGTTTTAGTCAACACTCAAATTGATTACACTGGAAGGCATGGCCCTGGTGTTATGTCCGTGGAAACACTGTGTGATCTCACTTGTTTCGCTTCAAGCTCGTCCAATGTTCAAGAAAAACAGGGTTTTGAAGCGGCATTTAACAATGAAATCATGAGGACAGCGGAAAATTATTCATACAGCGGAACTTTACAAATCATGGCCCTTGCAAGCGTGCTTGGAGTTCCCGTTGAAACAGTTTACCCCGATCAGAAACATAGACTCTTGCCTGTTTACCAGAACGTTTATAAACCTAGACAATGCTCTAATCGTGCGGA